CGTTCTGTTTCGCCGCACGCAGCGAGGAAATGGAAGCATAAACCCGATACCTGTCATCTCCGCGCTGGCATCCTTTCACTTTTTTTCCCCCTTCATGTAAATTTCCACTCCATCAACCCCGTTGCTATCTCTTTACTAAACATGAAAGGAATCCAAGAGGCATTGTTGATTTCCTTCAACCTGCCGACCTTTCTCCTCCTACACTGCACAGCCTTCGGGACTCAAACTGAGAAGAAAGAAACTGGGAAAACTGTCACATCTCTGAATCCGTTTTTTCCCATTTAAAACAGAATCTTACAAGGCTCTGCCTGACCGAGTGGGCCGCTGACGGACAGCCGGTCAACACCTAAACACTCCACAGATTCATTTAAAGGCTCCACGATTCAGGGAGAAGAAGCAACAGGTGGCTTCTTCAGAGAGTCGCATCCTTCTGATCATTCACTCGTCTGATTATTCTGCCTCAGCTACAACTTCCATTTACTCCTGCTTCCCCCACTTTGAGCGGAGGCGGATTTTTTTCGCTACATTATTTTCCTCCCACGTGGAGACGTCTCATTGGTCGATTCCTCATCCCCCCCGGCCGGCGCAGGATTGATGGGAGCTGCTGATGCCTCCCTCCTTCGCCGCTAAGATTTATGCGCCCACTCGGCTGGCCATCAATCACAGGGGCGTAGCTGGGTGGACGAAGCGGAGAGCGCTGCGATTCATGACGCCGGTTTGGGTTCTACCGATGAAGACCACCTACATGTCTGACTGGAGGAGCATCAGCAGGACTGGCAATTGTGTATTTGTTAACTCAGGGGGAATACGTGAGAACTTAGGTGGCTAATGCTTGGAAATCTACTTTCAGATCTCCCGCATAAACTGTACCTCACAAATATTGAATAATCTACATATTTCATTGGGATTAAATGAGATAGACCAACACAAAGTTGTGCATAATTGCAAGAAAATGACAAAAGCTTTCAAATTAAATAAAAAAAAACAACAACTAAAAAACATGGTGTACATTTGTATTTACCCTCTCTTCACCCCAATACGCTTCAATAAAATCAAGTGCAAGTAGTTTATCTATCCAGTTAGCATGTTCTTGTTAGCACGTTCTTGGCTCTACACGACTCAGGGTTTCTTCAGGTTTTGCCAACTAAGACTTTTTAAGACCTTTTTATAGAACCAATATGAATGAAGTTTAAGATGTATATCCCCACAGAAACATACAAACTTTTTCCAACCAACTGAACAAGATAAACTAGCACTTACATGACAGACACAAGAAAGCTAGCTAGCTAGCGTAGCAGGGTACAGTAGTTACCAATACCCTCAACCAGTGCGACTCAAACTTCTGCCCGACAAAAAAGTCCTCAAGAAAAATAACATCCATTATACAGAGATATTAAGTTGTTCTGTCAAGAAATGTAAGACCAACTTACTTTTTAAAATTGATTTAAGGCATTTTAAGGCCTTAATATTAGACACAAACTTAAGATTTGCAACCCTTCGATTTGTGATTTAAAAATCCTTTTTTTTTGTTATTTTAAATGCATTAATGGTCTTGTTGCTTTGTACGTCTCTGACTTGCTTCAGTTTTATGTTTCACCAAATGCCCTAAGATCAGCCGACTTTTTTTGTTGGTTGGACCTAAACCTACACTGAAGCTCAGAGGAGATCAGACCTCTTCAGTCGTGGCTTTAAAACAACGGAACAAGATGCCATTAAATATTAGACAGGCTTCTTCTCTTGTGGTTTTTAAATCTCTCTTAAAAACACTCATTTTCAGTGGCTTTTGACACAGTGCGAGAGTGTTTCTCACACACTAATTGTCTTTGTAGTACGTTTTGTTCTGCTTTTATTGTTTTTCATTCCATTTAGTTATAATTCCTGTCTTGGTTTGACCCGTTTTAGTGCTGCTCTTTGGATGAACACAGTTTTTTTAAATATGCTTTATAAATAAAGTGCATCTGGATACACGATTTGTGTTGTTTCTCAATTAAGTGCCACCTCACTGTAGGTGGGGTCGTCATAGAAAGCCGACCTGATCGGCAACGTGAAGTGATTTAGAGGCGTCAGGCTGTCATCTTAGTGTCAATAGGTAACGTTTTATCAGTGACAAAAAAAAAAAAATATATCACATGAGGCAGGGCCGAATTTAGAAGATTAAAGGGCCTGGGCTGGAGCCAGTTTGGTGCCTTGTCTAAGAAAATAAATGATTTACTTATGCAAATTACAGAAACTTATTAGGTAGGCTTACACATTTGCAGGTATGAATCGATGGAAAATCAGTTTAAAATGCTCCATCTTGTTTCCAACAAAGGATAATTTTCAAATATTTGAGTGTGGTGTACATTAATAAAATTGCAACAGAAAAATCCATTTTTTGGGCCCCACCCTCAAAAAGCCTCTGTAAGCTCTAAAGTCTGGGCCAACATGCGGGGTACCCAAAGGTTTAATCCTGGACTCTTCATATTTAATATCTACATGTTCCTGCTAGCTCAGATTATTACAAATAAGATTAGCCATCATAGCTACACAGATGATATATAATACTGTCGCCAAATGGCACTGAACCCCTTTAAGCTCTAAGTAGATGCACAAAACAAATCAATAACTTTCTCCAGCTGATGAGAACCAAAACTGAACTTATCAACTTTGAACCTAAAAAGGGAACGATCAAGAGTCAGCTTCAATTATTACAGTTAGAAACTAATGATCAGTGCGGTGATAGATTCAGACCTGAACCTTCAGAAACACATAAGAGACAATTACAAAGTTGGCCTTCTATCACTTGATGGACATTTCCAGGTGAAAGATAAAAAAAAACCAATAGTGAAGCATGTTTAAGCAATAAATGTTAGAAAAGGCAGAAAACCTGCACTTACTAACAGATTAAAACAACACGTTAGCTGTTGCAGCTCCTGCTTACTTGGTGAAAACAGGACAAACAATGAGCTAGCAGAGAGAGAAAAACATATCAAAATGATCAAGTCAGGCAAACAGACAGATGAAACAAATAATTACATTGGTAACAACAGGAAGCCAAAAACTAGTCATTATGATCCAGGCAAAAAGAAAGTTTTGACAGGCATCAGAAGATAAGAAAAATAGGTAACATTTGCTTTTCAAAAGTAAGCAGTGAGAACCAAACACAAACAGCAACCCCATCTGATAATCACTGTAGTCCAGTTGGCAGCCAAAATGAGATATTTTAACTTCTCCAAACGGTGCTCAAAGGATGCAAAGGATTTTTCCAAGTGGTTAGCTAGCCAAAACTACAACCAATACAAGCCTGTCACAAGTGTGTTTGTTTGTATTGTGTTGACTGAGAGCCATAGGAAGATTAGTTGGGACGGAACAAAAAGGTTCCCTAAGAATAAACAACGACCCTGACAGCTGCGCTATTTCTGTCTTTATGGCACTGCGAAGGAGGCAACATGTGGGGGAAAAAATAAATAGAAAAACAAAATGGACAGAAGGCAATACAAACTCACATTAAAGACTGCACACCTGCAAAACAGGGCAGGAGAAAAGAAAGGGGAAAACATAGGAAGGAAAACCCCCGGCGGCTCCTGTGTGTTGGGTCCTCGCAGCAGCCACACTGCAGCCTTATGGCATTTCATCACAAGATGGATTGCGAAACTGCATGCACCAGCCCCATCACTCTTTCCTTCCCATTTCTATTTCCTGTGCTTGGCCTAACGCCGCATCCATCCCATAGTCCACCCCACCCTCTATCCGCCCCCGTCCAGCAAGAGCAGATACTGTCTGTTCTGGAGGGCGCTTGGGAGGGGGCCGGTGCAGCACAAATCCAACCCAGTTTGGTGCTGGAGGCAGAAGCACAGCTTAAAGGCACCAGAATGTGCAACGGGAACAAAGCTACTTTTTAACACAATCATAATGTGGGCGATGGGTATGATTAAGCCTCTTCACAATAAGCAATAAATCAATTAATCTCATGACAAATTGAAATGAGAGTGATCATTTCCATCTGGATAACAATAAAATAAAGAGATGATTCCCTTTAACGTTGTTGGAAAACCGACATTTTAGTAAGTAATTAGCTTGCACTACCTTCCTCTTTAGCCTGTTTTCCCGGTCTAAGCTGAATAATTAATATATTTTTAAATACAATTTTGGTTATAGAGACTTCCTAATCTGTTTTAATTATCTTTGTTTTTGTGTTTTGTTTATTTATTTTGGATATTTAAAATGTTTTCCAGTGTTAAATGTTCTTTAGAAATTTGTTAATTGTTTTATCTGCACTTGGTGCAGATAAAACACCAAGTGCAAGAGGGTATACTTGCAGTAATATGCCAAAATCATTGTGATGCTAGTTGAAAATAGTCTCAAAATGACAATAATATCATTTATCGCTATAATTTCTGGGACAATTTATCGTCCAGAGAAATTTATTATCGTGACATGATACGATTTATTTTCAGTAAGATCCCAAAGAGTCTGAATATAATGCTCGAAATGTTAAAAAGTACTAGATATAAACAAAAATCAAATATGTAACTCAAGACTTTGAATTGTTTAAAACTGAAAAACAATTAATAAAAAAATAATTAAGTGAATCAATTCCACAAACTCCTTAAATGTAGCAAGTGTTTTATTAAGGAATATGGGACAAGCAGCTACAGCTGAAAGGCTGTCAAATTATGTCAAATACTGAAGATTAGCTTAATCTTAACCTTGTAGCAACTAGCTAAAAACATAAATAGCTATTTTCAACAAACTAAATCTATTAACACAAACGCTTCTTTAATATTTCACAAATATCCCCCATTCCTTTATGAAGCTTTTAAAACGTTAGTAATGAGACAACATGAGAAGCAATTCTAGGCGGATGACAATGTAATATATTCTGATGTATAATTTTAGTCCAAAACAAGCCAAATCAGCCATTATGCAAAACTATTTTCAAGGGACGTTCTTGGACAAGCAAGTCCTATTTTGGTTCTGAAGCTTCAAAGCCTTCAAAGTGACAGCGTCGCTCAACCTACCTTTGTTGTTGTAGACGTCTAGATAGTTTGGAGCTGAGAAGATGGTGATAAGGGACGGGAAGCCAGTGGTCTGACTCTTTCTGTACATGCGGTATCTGGGGAAACATCCAAAAGAGAGGCATTTAGTTTATCTCAGAACAACCGGGTCGCCGTGATGTGATCGGCGGTGACATTTTTATGGCCCTTTTGTTTGTACACGTTGGGTGTGTGTTTGTCTGGAGCTGATGTCTGTGGACACCTCGGTACCTCCCCTCCCCCCCAGAGGAGGGCAAATCCCAGCGCTAGGACTGAAGCGAGGTGGCAGTAACTGAATCTAGCTGTAAAGTTCAGACTTTCTCGATAAAGCCGCAAATGTCTGAGTGCGACTACGGCTTACGACGTCTCGCGTGCTGCACCTGAGGGTAAATGGCCCCGTGCGAGTTTCTTGTTGGACATAAGGGATGCGGAGTGGTGCAATTAGACGTGCGGTCGGATTCGTATCCGAGATGTGGCGAGGAGTCCCGTGTGGTCGCACGGTGGGAGTGCAACGGTAAACAACTTTGTGTCGAGTCTCCCCACCTTCCTCAGATGGAAAAAAAATAAATAAAAATTCAGCTAAACACATCCAGTAACCTGTTTCTTTTCTTTTTTTTTTATCTTTTCAAAGAGCGTGGCGTCTGGTTGATGTATAAAAGCGGGGTAAACTCTCCCTCTGCGTCCTGCTGCGCCTCCTTTTCACATGGCAGCAGCTGTAACTGCGAGTTCCCGTCAACCTTAACTTTTTGAATCAGAGCTCAGCAATGTCTGCATGACTCATTCGTGTTGCATCACATGTGGCCGGCTCGCTCTCCCAAGCTGGATTCATTTTCATTTCTTGGATTAACGCAAAGTTCACACTGCGCCCATCCTGCTCCCCAGACAGGCTTTAAAGAAACCTCCTGAGATTTCTCATTTCACTCGCCGCCCTGAGCCGCTCGGCTGTGTGACAGTGTGATGTGGAGAAGACAAAGAAGGCAACACTCACCCGGCGTCCTGTGCTTCATGGGCCCGGATGATAGATAATAAGTTATTGTGTTGTAGAAAGTCACAGACTGCAGGGTAGCTGTTGAAGAAAGGAGACGTTTAGCTCACTCAAACGTCAACGAAAGTCCCAGAAAGCCCCAAGAAAAACGATCAATGGCAAAAACTAAATAAGGCCAAAGGTATTATTGATTGAGCTCAAAGAAACGTCGGACAAACAGGCTAAATTTATTCCAGCGCCAACTGCAGCTCCTGCAGAGACATTTAGCCCAGGATTTTCTGGAAAATACACACAACATCCTGCACAAATACATACATTTATCTTTTACTGCTTTTTCACAATACAACATTCATTCATTTCTGCCAATACATGGCTTTATTTCATCGATTTAGAGCAAACAGAAGAAAAGATCTCTGACCATTCCTCTTTAGCTGCTTCCTCTCTGATATATGAAGAAAAATAACTTAAATTGTTTTTTTCTACTGCTTTGTGAAGTTATTTGCTTTGAACTTTGTTATCCTTAAATCCCACATTGCTGAGAAAGAGAGAAAGAGAGGGAAAAAGAGAGAAGGAGAGAGAGACTTGAGCTTCTGCACCACTGCCTCATAAAATGCAAGAGATTAAATTTAAAATTTGCTACATTTAACCCACAAGTGAAAACGACTGGGAAAATGTGTTCGATGTTGTGGGAACGAAAGTCAATCAATAACAATATATAGACGCGTGATCAATATCAACAGATAAAATGTTCAATATTCGATGTGTAGAAAATTCACTTTACTCCAAACCAGAACCGCACAGCATTCTGGGAGATGCAGGCAGAGGAAAGGCTTCGAGCGTTTGCGGCTTGGTGGAATCGACCAACCGACTTGCTCCTTGGTTACCTAGCAACAAGCAGTTTCAAGTTCCCCCACAGCTATGGTTGCCTAGCAACGACCTATTGAGTAACTTGCACAGTCACAAGTGCTTAAAAATGAAATAAAAAAAACAAGGAATGTGGAGTGAAAACTGTGGACAAAACAGGAAGGTTTGGTAGGATTTAAAAACTAATTATTGTTGTTGGTTATTATCGATGCTGACTGACATGAAATGCTTGCAGTTTTTGAACTGATTGGTTTATTTTCATTATTCACAGCATTTTAGTCTTAGCCTTTTCTGTTTGTCTTGTCACTACATAAATGTAATTAGCTAGATCAATTAGTTACTGTGAAAAAAAACTAAATATACTACGTTTCAGTAAAATCTACTAACACGTTTTCTATATGGAAATAATCTAAATAAATTTAGATGTATTCTAGGTTACAAGAACACAATACGTGTTCCTCCACTAAATAAGACCAGTATTTTAGACCACTAAATAAGACATTTAATTTTTTTTTTTGCCATTTTCTGACCTTTTAAAATCAATACAAAATACAGTAGTATTTTTTCTACTGTGAAGATGTTCTTTCTTTCTAACAGAAGAATATCTGTTTGTTGCATATTACCAACAAAAAGATCCTAAAAAATGTTTTGTTAGCTGGAAAAGGTCTCTATTACAAATGGACATAATATTTTTTTCTCATTTTCCTTATTTTTTAAATTTTTTTCTTCTTTTTTTCTAGTTACAGAATTAAATATTGTTTGATTTTATCTTTTTTTTAGTGTGAAATTATGCTGCAGCAATAAAACACTAATTTCCTTTAGTGTTTTTATAAACTGTGGCCTCAAACAGTTCTTTCACCGATAAAATGTTTTCCGTTTTAAACAAGGCTGTACAGGAGCAGCGGGTTTGACCCCTCTTAAATGCTAAATAGCTTATTTTTCAATGAAATTATAATTTAAAAAAAGGGAGATGATTCATTTTAGGTTGCTTCTTCAACAAAAAAAAAACAAAAAAAAGAAGAAGAGCCATTTCTGGAAACTATTAGATGCAGTTTTATGCTCGTTTACTCTGTGAGCAGTAAAACCAAAAGCCTCACTGCCAACAATCAAACTGGAGCAAGTCGAGGCAGCTTTCATCCTGCAGCAGCGGCGGCAGCAGCAGCAGCTGCTGCAGCCTCCTCTGAAGCCTCGTCTGCTCACAGTGAAAACCTCACAAGAAGAAATGTCACCGGCAAACAGCATGACTTGATTTTGCCTCATTCTGACTTTAAAAAACGGCGTTTCTGAGAAGAAAAACGATCGACACCCCCAGAGGATGTCGGGGGTTCGTGAATCATTTGTAATGAATAAAGTCATGAATGAGCGGCGGCGCTGCGTAACATCTGAAAAACATGAATGTGGAAGAAATGGACACACTCTCTCTCTCTCTTTCTCCAAGTGATTTTTGGTTTGATAACATAACAGCCACTCAGTGTTGATCGCCGATCGTCTTTACTGTGTTTAATGTCAAAGATGTTTTATTTTGAATCAGCTGCTACTTGAAAATGTGTCCGTTTGTTGGTCTAAAGAGAAAACGTAACACTTTGTGCTCGTTTCACCAGCGCCTGTTATAAACAGTCACTTGAAAAAATTTCAAGAATTCACAAACACCCTCGGATATCGAAACGTTTTTGGTTCAATCAAGTAATTTGCTGCGCTTGCTCGAAAAACACAAAGTTCTGCAATCCAAGCTCAAACACCCCTGCAACATCGGCGCTCGGAGATGAACTCGACTCCCACACGCTGCAATCAGAACCGAGCCGCACGATTCTCTTTTGCAGCGAATCCTGCTGATTTCAAAGAAGCTTTTTAAAATGTAATCCCTGCTCTGCAATCAAGAAAACACAGTGGTTTCATAATGACATGCATCGCCACTTAAAACTATTCATGGTTGCTGAACTTCTGCACGTTTCGTCACAGACCTGTGGGTTATTCTGGGATTTTATGCGACAGGCCAACAAGTTGGTGCTCAAGTTTGAAGAGGAAAGAAACCATACATGGTTTAACTTTAATTTTTACTTTTACACATAAAAACATGAAAAATCTGGCATGTGTAAGCATCCAGCGTTCGTGGATCTAGCTTCATACGTCTATACATCATTTCTGTCTATTCGTCTTTGCAAAGTAGCTCAATTAGATCAAACAGAGAAGAAATGTAATCTGTTTTGTTGAAATTACTTTGAATAGGCCATTCATTTGTAGTTATCTTCCTACCAAATCTGACCTGTTTCTCTAATCCTACTGGAGAAAAAAAACAAAAAACAAAACATTCCCACACCATAATGCTGCCACTACCATGTTTCACAATGGGAATGGTGAGTTCAGGGTGAAATGAGGTGTTAGTTTTCTGACCCACGTTGCATTTTTTTCTTCTGGTTTTGGTCTTATTTGACCAGATCATCATAAAAAGACACATTATTCTTTATTTCTCAACAAAAATGGTTTGTTAGCAGCAGGGTTCTTTGTACTCCTCCATCAAGGCCAGATTTGTGGAGTGCACAGTGCTGCTGTTAAATCCTGTTAAAGGTGCGGCACTTTATAACCTAACCTTGGTTTAAACTTTATTTCTTCCTGAGCTGCTCGCCGTCTTCCTTGACCTTCGTGATGTTGTTTTGCTCACAAATGCTTTCTAACAAACCTCTGTTGTTTACAACAGAGAGGGCTACATGCAAACATGCACAACGTAGCGCTGCTCTATCACAGAGCTGAAACGATTCACTGTGATTCATTTATGAAAATAATCATAAACTAATTTAGTAATCGATTGTTAGCTGGAGCAGAGACTCAAAAAAAGACAATTTGCTGAAAGAGCAGCAAACTCAGTAGTGATTAAGCTAAAACTATACAAAAAATATAAACATTTTGCATTTAAGATAAAAAAAACAAAAACAAAACAAAACAAAAAAAAACCTTTTTTGCCTGCAGATGGTACAGATGATCCAACATAAAATAAAGGAAGGCTTTGCTGTTACATTTTGGGCAATATCTAAAAAAATAATAAAATTACTTTTTGCCTTTTCTTAATTTATTCTTATGTATGAAATAAGCTTTAAGGTAGTTAAACGAAAAATCTGCAGAATGTAAAAATTTTATTAAATGATAATCTGTCAGAATAATCGATTACAAAAACAATTGTTAGTTGCAGCGCAAATCTATCGTACAAAATTCCAGTAAAACACATTAAACTGTCGCTGCACAGAGACAACATGTAATAAAGTTCCTGCAATTTGAATTATTTTGGAAAGGCGCTGAACTTTAAAAAAAGTTCCTCTTTATGCAGTTGGTTAGCGAGGATAATGCTTCAGAAATGAGGCCCACATTCATAAATAAAGATGTTTTTTTTGCCAGCTTTCATGAGCTAACCTTAGAAACTGACTGGATTAGCATAAAGCTCATCAACAATCTCTGCGAAAGAACATTTGAGATTGTTATAGCAACAACAAACATCTGGATAAAGAGCTGCAACATCTGGATAAAGAGCTACAAGCAGATTATTAGAAATAAATGTGTTATTTGTTCTCTAATTCCCTGAAGCAGCAAAAGAAGAAGACGACAAGAGCCAAATGTTGGTTTGTTGGACTGTAATTCAGCTTTCTGATTTCACTTTAGATTATTTTCTTTAATTAAATAGCATTAATAAAAGATTTTAAAAAAAGAAGAAAAAAATATAACGTTCCTGTAGGTCAGGATGTCAAACTCATTTTCATTTTGGGCCAAATCAGGATCCTGAAGGCCGGTTGAGCCAGACTGTATTGATAAAACCTGTTCACAAACTGTTAAAATATCAATGAATTCTTAAAATTAAATATTATTGAACGTCTTTCCAGTTCCTCCAGGATTTAGTGATTCTTTTTGTGATTTTTTTCCAATAAAAATCAAAGTGTTTGTAGTACTAATTTGGAAATATTTGTAATAAAAAATGTGACTTATTACTTGCTGTATAGATTATGGACTGTAATCTGACATTTATTAAGGCTGAGGCAGCTGTTTAATACAAGTAAGAATGTTTTTGACAATTTTTGAGAAAAATCTGCAATAAACTCCCAATTATATGCGCAAAAAAGTACAGGGATTTGTTGATTTTTGCGTGAATTTCCACTGTAATTCTCAAGAAACTGAAGAGACGGATTGATATAATTAGGCAGTAAAAAGATAAAAACTACACTCAGTCGATTGATGACATTCAGCCTCGAATCCAGAGGGCCACATAAAAAGCTACGGCGGGCCAGACCAGGCCCACGGGCCTCCAGTTTGACAGGTGTGCTTCAGGTTGACCGATCCGTGCGCTTTGTGGAGCCTGAAACAAAAAGCGAGCCTTTCAGAAGCACGCGCAATTTCATGCCTGAGTTACATTTGTGGACGTGTTCGGAGCAAGACGGCGGCGGCGGGGAAAGTCTGCAAGACAGGCGCAACCAAACAGGCTGATGGTTTCTGACTGGGAGCGCTGCGAGGAGCGAATCCATTTCTCTCGCTTGGCGTCGAGCCGAAACCGTCTCAAAACTACGGAGAGCCAGCGTGACGCCAATTAGCGGCCGTCCCCCGGGCAGACGAGGCGTCGGACGCCGATGGAAACACGACGCGGGAGGAATTTCCACCCAAAAATGTCAGAGGGGTTAACTGGGCCGATTCCTGACATTAGTGTGATGCGTTTGAGGTGAAAAGGGGGCTGCATACCCCGCATTTCTTTCTGGTTTCAGCTGCATGAAAACACACCAGTGATGGACATTCCTGAGATAACAGAACCACTTGCGGACCTGAAATGAAACAGCTCATTGGGAGTAAGGAAAGACAACAATGTGTGCCCACAGTCGACGCACAATGAGTCACTTTATGAGCAGGTACATTAAAACACAATTAGGGAGGCAGCTATAAAACACCTGCCATCAAATAAATAAAAAGAGTCTGTTCTCGTTTAAAGCCTTGAGACATTTCTCACCACTTCTCCTGCCTGTGGCTCACCGAGGGCAAATAAGAGTCGCTCAGGCAATAATTGGAGTGGAGGGAGAAGCGAACGCATTCAGAGGAAGGACTGTGCCTCGTGCTAATGCGCCACTTCATTACATTTTGTGACAGTGCAAGCTGCCAGCTCCCAGCTTTTCCTCCGCCTGTTCAGTTACTCGGCTCAGCCGACGGCGGCTGCAGAAATACCGGCGGCGGTCGGAGGAGGGGCCTCAGGGAAACGCAGCGTCACTGGCTGCCTTTCCGTTAGTCGTAGCATTTATTTTCAAAATTTGAGAAGAAATTTGGTTTAATGAAAGCACGTACACTTTGAAAACACTCGTGTTTTTAGATAAAAAGTTGTTGCTCTAGGACAGGGGTGTCAAACTCATTTTCATTTTGGGCCAAATCAAAAATGTGAATGTTCTTAAAGGGCCGGTTGTCCTAGAATCCATTGGTAAAACCAACAGAACTGTTCAAATATCAATAAATAGCTGTTCCTCCAGGGTTTTGTGATTATTTTAATAGGTCTTTTGCAATCAAAATTACAGATTTTGTGGTGAATATTTTTTAACAATATTTGCGCTAATGTATGACGTTAAATGTGAGTCTTTATCGCTCACCGTATCAGTTACGGATTCAATCTTTTTGACCAATTTTGAGAAAATTTGCAGTGAAATCAGGAAAAAATTTGGAAATTTGTTGATTTTGTGTGATTTTTGCAGATTTGTGAAAAACTGGAAGGACTTATTGACCAGAGGGCCACATAAAAAGCTACAGTGGGCCGAATCTGGCCCATGGGCCTCCAGTTTGACACCTGTGGTACAGGATGTGTTGACAGGACTTTTATGACATATTAAAATAAACCTGTCTCATTTGGTGTGACCCTGCACGATGCAGACCCACAAATGTGCAAAGGTTATTAGGGTGAATCTTTAATCGAGTCGCACAACGCCTTTGAAACGACTGGCTGACTCACACTACTGGAATAATTTAAACTTCATTCATCATACTGTAAAATATAGCTGTGGCTTGCATAAGCAGTTCAATCCCAGCAGCATAATGAAGCTCCTAACTCACTGGCTGCCTCTCTAAATCCTGACGGCAACCTTCAGAGGCAGAGGAAGAACAACCACGACACAAACAATAAACGTCCTGGGAGACGCAGAGCCTACCTGTAGAAATAGGAGCAGCCTCTCACTGTGTTGTGTGTGAAGTGCTCCTGGCTCTTCTCGTTCCCAAAGTCCTCCAGCGGGTCCGACCACAGCAGATCGCACATCGGCCCGTAAGCTGGCGGCTCTTTGAATCTGTCTAGCTGTGGAGGAAAACACGAGGCTCCTGTGAACGTTTCCTTTTAGCTGCAGCTTAGCACGTAATTAAATCGCCGTTTGATCAATATTAAACCATACACAGAGAGGATGTCAAAGAAAGAATCAATCTTGCAGTTTAGAGATGGATGAAGTAAAAAAAAAAAAAAAATCTTTTTCTATGAGCGTAAACGGCTTTACTTTCAGGAAATTTGGCTCTTTTTTAAACTGAAGCTTGTTCGTGACTATGCAGGCCGCATGATGGACACTTTGCCGGAGCAAATGCTGTTATGCATGCCCTCCGATTGCAGCCGCAAACTCCATTTAGATTTATTGAATTAGTCTGAGAGAAGGAACTTCTTCTTCTCCCTCCACATTTCTTTCATTCAGAAGAAAGAGCAACTCTGGACACTACTTTATGAGTTACAAGCCATTTGTGAAGCAATTAAGAAACACCTGCTGATTAAACAAACACAGAGAAACAGTAAAGCAGCTATAAAACCATGTCAGATCGTATACATACTTTCCTGATGTCGTCAAGATTTGTGATTTCTGGAGACAGTCCTCCGTGTACACACAGGAACTGCTGGTTCATAAGCGCAGCCAGGGGAAGGCAGTCGAAGGCGTCCATACATGCGTCATACACCCTCTCTGAATACTTAATTTTACCTGTCAGGGAGGAGGGAGGGGAGCACAGGGCAGGAACAAGAAAACAGCACGCCAAGTCAAACAAACCTGCTCTCCAACACTGGGGCAGTGTCCGGCATGGAAACGCTTTCTCAACACTGGCAAAAAGAAAACGTCCCGAAAACAGTTTCAGAAGAACACAATGTAAATGTCATTTATGCCGATTCCCGCTCCGACTAAGTCCAATAAAAACAGCTCTGACACCGGTAAACACCAATAAAAGGTGAAACATGCCGTTTTTCTTAAGAGACTATTACTTCAACTGTGTAGGGACTTGAAAGCGATAGTTTAGGTTGTTTGAGGAGGCTTTGCAGAGTGCTTATGAGTAGCCAGTATTTTACATGCAGGGAACAGTAGTCCCAACTTTTTAATGTCAAAGACAGAAATGAGGAATTTGAGGAGCAAATGTCCACCCCTAAAGCAGTTCAATCTAAAAAATTTTGCTTGCAACAAATTATCTTTACTCCAAATGTAACTTTTGCATAACAGTTTTTCACAATCGTAATTGTTAGCCTCGTCCCAGGTAGTTGTTAATATTTTCTAAACGTTTGAACAGCTAAGCTTTCACTGAGCCTGATGAATAACTTATTAATTTATTTTAGTCTCTGCCAAGAAAGAAGTTGAATGACTCAAGTAATTAATTACTGAATATATTCAGAAGCCTAATTAATTCCTAGCAGCTATCTAGAACTGAGAGCTGCTAGAGTGGCTAACAGAAGCGGCTAGCGCATCTTCTGTTAGCGCTTATTGCATCTTCAGGTAGCTGTCCGCCTGGTTCTGGAAACCCTAGCCCTAAGAAATTGTTTATCTGGCTCTAAATAACTCTAAATCTGGCTTAGAGGAGCTTTCAATTTGGTTGTAGCTAATTGTAAGCAAGGTTTTGACTAGCCATGCTCAGATTAGCTGCTAGTGTGGTTTAGAGAAGCTGCTAGCTTGGCTCCGTGTGACTGTATGACTGTGGCTGTTAGCTCAACTCTGGAACATGTAAGCCAGTTTCTGGACAGCTGCTAGCTTAGAGTAGCTGTTAGGGTAAAATGGCTCCAAGTGTCTTTTAGCCTGACTCTAGGTAGCCGTTAGCCTGGTTCAGGCTAGTGGCTGGCCTGGGTCCAAGTAATTGTTAGCCTAGTTCTAGATAATTGTATATCTAAAATGAGCTCAATCAGATATTGTCAAAGAAGCAGTAAGAACAATGAAAACTACTTTACTTACATTCCTGCTTAAATGTGAAATACTCTGTTAAATGTCGACATTCGTGATTCCCACGCAGCAAAAACAGTGTTTTGGGGTATAGGATCTTTAAGGCCCACAAGTAGAGCACACACTGTAACAAGAAAGAACAAAAATAAGAGCAGAACAGTTGGCTTTTCATCTCTCCTAATGCTAAAAGCAAAAGCTATCATGTCAAACATCGTCAGTTTCACGGAAAAGTAAATTCTGCTCACACTGAAATATTAAAGCTGCACATTTTGTGGCGCATTTCAGGGTTGCAAGACTCAGAAAAATGAAACATCACATTCAAAATGAAACACCTGACCAGACAAGAATAGCACAGGCTAAAAAAATATCTCATATACATGTACTTTTTATTATTAAAGCATTTCCAGAGATAAGGCCGCAATAAACATATATATTGGTTATAAAGTCCTATACTTCAAACATGTATTTTGTGGAATATTAAAACTCTCCCAACATAATCCTCAGCTCCACTGTGACATTTGCGATCCAGGCTGCACTGGAAATGATCATAAAAGTGTTTTATCACTGCAATATCTGCAGCCTGATTTCATCTATGCTCAGAGAAAGCTATTAATAAACCAAGCTTTTGTCACACACATGGCGAGCATTGCGCTCGATTAGGAACAATAACAAACACACGGACTCACTTCAATACTGAAATACCCTCTGTCTACGTAGTCCCCAAGGAAAAGGTAGCGTGTGGATGCTGGTGATCCTCCTACTTCAAACAGCTTCATTAGGTCAAAGAACTGCCCGTGGATGTCTCCGCAAACTGGAAATATGTCAGGAAGAAGACAACAGTGTGTCAGTACAAAGGCTGGAAACGGATGAAAGTAGCGTTAAGATTGTGAGAGAGTGTTTGCATGTTTCCATGATTTTCATCAGGTAGTTAGGAGCTGAGAATCAAATAAGAAAGATCTCTGAAGTCGCACATTTGAGGAGAAAATAAACTCTAGTTTAAATGGTGCTGCTCCTTTTTTTCCCTATTCAGGCTAGATGCAACATTTATTTTCCAAATCCACTCCCAATGTTTTAATACTTTTACTCAAAAGGAGCAGACACATTTTGAAATGATTCTGACTGACATTTCTTCAGGATTTCTGAAAATTATAAAAGTTTTCTTCAGAAGTTTACGAACATTACGGTCCAGTATGTCTGGAAAAAAAAAAGGTAAAGAAATGTGGGATGAATCACATCGAAGTATTGTATGTCCAGTGCAGTCAGCATGAGGTTGTCTCAGCATGAAAAGCTTAGACAAAAATGCAGTGGTGTCATTTACAGAAAGATTTCAAATAAAGAAATACAAATATCAATAAGTGCTTTTATTGAAAAGAGAAAACCCACAATTATTAATACTACTTCAGTTTTTTGATTCTTGAAAAAGCCTTTAGCCACTAAATTATAATATTGTTGTTAAAACTATTAATCTGATATTAGCTGGGCTACCAGGTCAAGCAGAGTGATGGAAGATGATATTTTTTTTGGGAGGTCCAAATATATTTCCAAATTGGCACATTTGTGTTTCACATAAGCACAAGAAAAATATATTAGACTTTCTTCAGCTTACCATTTAGCAACAGGTTAGGGAGGGGCAGCTATGCTACATTTAAGTTTGAAATCATTGCTCTCTTAAAATAAAATGTAGATTTGTGTCAAATGAATCCGTCCTTTTTCTATTAGCATAGATATAGTTAGTTGACAAACATATAAACATTAGTATGCTAGCATTTGATGACTATGCCAGCTTAGGTTAACCTAATTGCTAACATTAGGTTAATGTTAGCAAAGGCACAAGTGTTAGCCAATATGCAAAACATTTGCATGTTAGCAAGTTTTATCATTGGCACAAAATCTGTTAGCGCAGTAGATAGCTTATGTATTGTTAGCTAAAAAAATTAGAAATTAGAGTAAATACTAGCAAATTATACATATATTTCACCCATCTACAACATACTAGATGTTGGTGTGAGATGATGGCAGATGTTAGCTAATAGCATATAGATGCTGGAAACAAAGCAGATAGTGTTGGCTACTGTTAGCTAACATGCTAGCATTTGCCAAAACGCCATTATTAGCATGCTACCTAAAGTTAGCATGTTAGTTGTTGATCTCATAAGCTTGCTAGCTTGTTGGTTAATGTTAGCATGTTTGCAAAATTGAGCATAGTACCTCATTTCAGTATTATATATATATATATATATATATATATATATATATATATATATATATATATATATATATTATTTTTTTTTTAAATTGAAAGCTATTTGCTAAGTTTTGTAATAGCTTAATTTTTTTACAAAGGTAAGGCAAAAAACAACAGTATGAAACACGTTGGAAGCACCAGCTTTAGAAATCTTTCTAGTTTATATAAAATAATAATAATTCACGATAAATCTATCGTCAGCAATGCATCTCCATTCCTGTGGAAATGCTTTACTGCAACTGTTTATTGTAACGTGCGTGTTGTTTTTGTTCTTTGAGACAGCAGGACAGATGTCAATTTTATTGATTTCTAAACCTTTCATGCAAGTTTGTGTGTGTTAACTGAATACAAATTGTGTTTGTCAAAGCAATTACAGACAGAAAATTTAGCCAACGTTAACGGCGAAGTTTGCTACTACCTGAAATCCCAGTGCAATCATGGCTGCTCAACATAACACGTATAGTTACAAACACAGAGCGGGCAGCTGTTAAATACCACCAGGGGAGCTTTCTGGGATGAAAACATCTGCGTCAGAAATGGGCTACCACAAATGATTCACCCCAGATCAGTTTGCTATCACATTATGAGATTCTATACTCTATTACTCCCTGTGGAGACGGGAGCAGCCAATGCCAGAGCAGATTTGCTGCTTACAGCAGAGCCAACTGTCAGGCTGCATATGAAACCGTCTGATTAAAAAGCCTTTCATACAGCTGCCAGCTTTATGGACGCAATAAAAGGTCAGTGCAAGGGTGGGGTATCCCGAAATTTACTACTTTTTCTTCACCTCGTCTCATCTGTCAGATGATTTATTCCTGCAAAATGACTATGTTTCTAATTTAGAAAAATTTTAATATCTAAATCCTCTGCAAAATGTTAACTCACTCATGCTGAAGTTGTGCTGCAGATAGTCTTAATCCTTTAAAAACTAAGTTTCAAATCTCTGCCTGGATATTTTGGTTATTTTAATTGTACGCAGTTCTTTAAACGTCCTGTGAGTAAATATATATTTGCCCATTTATCCGTAGCAACTGGAAGTTTCAATATCGAGCAAGTTATTTTCACAATTTACCGTCTATTAAAAGAGCACCCCTCAGATTAATTTCACTGCCTAATACAGTGGGAGTGAAATTACCGTAATAACCTGAGATTGGCTGGAAAGCACAACGTCACCCCTTTCAGAAACAGTTTGAATTTTTCAGGTAGCGCAACGTGTGGCGGAATTACGGTACTGCAACTTTGGTTGGATCATCTGTGACACGTTCGGTCTGGAAAGGTTAAGCAGAGCTGAAAATTAAATAAAAGAAAAGCTAATCTAAATTGTTAGGGGAAGCCAATAACGATGCACGTGCATGAAAAAAAAAATAACAAAAAGGAGATAATTTTTACTTTCAGACATTTCTCCTACAGCAGTATGACAGCTGCAGCTCCGTTAGTGTAGAGAAAAAAGCAGCTCGGGGTTAAAATCACTCAAAAGTTACAAGGCATTCACACATCTGATACCACAAAAAGTCACGAAACACTTTCGTTTACTTCTGCCATAACGTCAGAACTGAAGCAACGACAAAAGTATCATAAAAAGTCTTGCAACAGATGGTACGGCCCTCTGAACATATAAGGACAGAGTCCGTCTGGGATTGCATGAAAAGGAAGAGGCACACCCTAAATTTTCAGAACAACTGCGGTAAGTTCTTGGAACAGCCTAAGTAAATACAGTGGTGCGTTCACCTTGGTTTTACGTTTCACTGCACACCAAGAGACAATCATGTTAGGGTTTTTTCCCCCCTCAATAATTTGGTTTAATTTGTAAATATGCATAGATTCTTACATTCCTTTTCTGAAAACCGAATCCAGGGTGGGAGGAAAAGTTGCACTGCTTTCAGCTCAGACGCATCTGGAAAGGATCATCTCAGCCATAGAGAGCATGGAAGATGAAAAACTGGCAATCTACATATTTCTGTGGGAAATATATACGGCGTGGCCCATAATCACCATCCAAATGGCGCGGCGTTCTGGGATGGTATAGGGTAACCTTGGCACAGGTAATCTGAGGTTTCACTGTGGCTGCATCAGCACAGAAACGATCAGACGCTTTAGAGCAACGCATGCTCCCCACAAGCTTCACCACTTCAATGTTTGATTTTGTCATCCGTCATATTCTGAATTATTTTGAACGACAAATGTTAGCTCAGCATCCCTGATTTGTTTGTGCTTCACTTTCCCAAACAGCTGATCTGTGATCAGAATTTCAAAAAAAAAAAAACTACAGGTGAGAAGTGATTCACTTTTATGCAGCTCAAGATTTTTCCAAGTTGTTAAGATTTGTAACACTGCATCTGTTTTTGCTGCATTTCTGCTATAGATAATAATGATAAAGTGGAGTTATGTCTTCATCTTATTTAGCTAATTGATAGTAAAATTTACCCAACATCAGGAAGACCAGATGACTGTTTATTATCCATTTATACATAAAAATGTCTAAAGGGATGTACTAACTTGTGGCCACGGCTGTATGAACATCGTTTAGCATCAAAATGAAAAATGAAATGATGCATTTAACTTTTCTGTAAATATAAATGTAACTGTATAAAAGTGAAAATCTGTAGGTTTTCAGTCACTAAATCCAAACTGTGCCGCTTCAATTAAGTGGAACTAAATCCGACCTGATGGTTGTCAAAGCGTTTGCAGACTGAACGGTCGCGTCACATTTTATCCGTTAATGCTTCTGTAATGAATGCGCTGCTGTGTGAAGTCTACGTCCTTCTGCTGCGCACGCAGGTCGCTCTGGGGTCGTAAACCGTTCACACAGGAGTACAAATCAATAAGTAGATGTGTTGATATTTACTGTGAAAGTAGAAGGAAATCAAGAAGGTTTGAAAATATGAGCACTTTGTGTTCTATGTGACATTTTTGTCAGTGGACTTTAATTTAAAAGTCGTAGTTTTGTCCTAATTTATCTCTGTATTGTAGTTGGGGACCGCTCAAAATTAGTCCAGGGGCTGCAAAATGGTCCCCAGGCCTCACTTTGAACACCCTCGCTTTAAACCAGGGGTGTCAAACTCATTTTCATTTTGGGCCAAATCAAAAATCTGAATGTTCTTAAAGGGCTGGTTGTGACAGAATCTACTGACAAAACCAATTAAATTGTTAAAATGTCAATAAATAGCTGTTCCTCCAGGGTTTTGGGATTGTTTTAGTGTATTATGGAGATAAAAAGACAGATTTTGTGGTGAATATTAAGTAATTCTTGCTAGGATGTTTTACAATATTTGCACTAATGTGTGATGTGAAATGCGACTCTCTATCTCAACACAGAAAATCTGCAGTAAAATCAGGAACTGCAGTAAAATCTGCATTTTGACTAAAGTACAGCTTTTTATTTCTCAGTTTACGTTTTAATGATGTTTTTTAAATCTCTTTCCAATGTTTTTTTTAAATCTCTTTCTGTTTTTATTTTAATTATGTAAAGCACTTTGAAATGCCTTGCTGCTGAAATGTGCTATACAAATAAAATTTGATTAATTGATTGATTGAAAAAAAAAATCTAAATTTGTTGATTTTGTGTGAATTTTGCAGATTTGTGAAAAACTGGAAGGACTTAATGATGAAATCTGGAGTCCGGAAGGCCACATAAAAAGCTACAGTGGGCCAGATTCGGCCCCCGGGCCTTGAGTTTGACACCTGTGCTCAAAACATAAATTTACTAAAACAGAAGCAGTGCTATTCTTGTTGTTACAAACTTATAACTCAGTCATTAGTTAAGAGTCAATTAAATATTTAAAAAGGTAAATCTTTGTTATTTTGGCTCTCTGTCCCTCATGAAGCAGCTTATTTGACTCATTAAGTCATCTTTATCAGTGTTGAAAACAATAATTACATTTAATAGATCTAAATAAAGTCTTCCCAGTTCATGTAACAACTTTAGAAAAGGTCTTTTCCCCCCCTGAGCGATGCAATAATCTCCACCTAGATATAAATCAGCAAAATTCACGGACAGCAGCAACAACCAGGAGGTTGATCCTTCATATCTCCATGTTTTCAGGTCATCTAGTCGACGCGTAAGGGAAAAACCGGGACATTTCCCAAAGCGCGAACAGATTTGGATGCAATTTGTACAAAAAAAACTTGCGTTTCTCAAAGCTTTACGAACTGAATCTCACAGCAAGAAACACAATTAGACTCAGGTAGAAAAGAGAAAATCCGACGCTGTGATACCCAATTAGAGGAAGCGGGACAGCATTCAAGAGCAATTATCCCAAGTTATGAGACTCATGAGACGGCTCTGAGAATCCTCTCTCCTTGACTGCGTCGTAAACCTCTGCTTTACCCGCCGTCTTTTATTAAACCCACACTGCAACGTCGTTTAAATCCACAGCAGAGACTGACTTCAAGAAACAGAAAGGAACCTTATTATTTTCCGTTTGATTTCTGCAGATATCGTCATTCTTTTCATTTCCTCTCCATTTGCGTCCACGACGCACGCACCGCTTGCCTATTTTAGATTTGTTGTTAAGCTTCAGAGGAAATTGTTTTAATGGAAGAATTAAAAAAAAGAAAGAAAAAAGAGACGTTGAATTGTGTAATTTTTAAAAGCAGCGAGAGAAAAAAAAATCAAGTCAAACAATGCATTTCTAGGCAAGATAATTAGTCTCTTTTGTTTGCATCAGGCGTACCGAGAATACTAATTTTCTTAAAAACAGATTTGAGCTTTCACTATTTGCATTTATAAAAACATTAAAAAAAAAGGGACAAAAACATTGTTTTCAACTGTGCAACAGGCGTTAGTACCGTTTGTCAATAATACCAATTTAGAAGCAAATAAATTAAATTCAAAAAATCAACAATTTGCAACAAATCTGAATAAGCCTTTGACTAAAGAATGAACAGTTTAATATCTGTGATGGTTGGAGCTTCCTCCAATCAATTGATAATATTGATATTTTGAAACCATTTTAAAGTAACGATGATGGCGTCATAATGTAAGTCCACCCTCTCAAAGACTAATACATTTTTAAATTTTGTAATGAATGCTTCATACTGGAACTGGAAGACATTTTAAATATCCAAAATAAAACACACACACACACAAAAAAAACAATAAATAAAAGAAATAAAGAATACACACAAACCAAAACCATAAATAAAATGAAATATAAAGTCTCTGCAAACAAAAACTGTCTTTTAAAAATATTAATAATCAGAATGGAAATTATTAAGCTCACCTTAATTACTTGATCAATTATCTTACTTAAATATTTTCTAAAATGTTCTAATATAAAGACATAACTCACAAATACAGTCCAGATTCTGTCATATTACGGTTTTCAAACGTCTGTAGAGAAGACTTGGAAAACGCAACATTTAATTACATCTTTTTGAGAAATTCAAGGATAGGGATGAAGCTGTGGCTGTAATTAAAAAATGTTGAATCAGAAACGCATTTCGCTCTTTGTAATGTCACACTGGGAGAAGAGAACTTGATGTTTTCAAGTTAATTCTCATGTAATTTGTTCATTTTACAGACACGGACATTAAAAAACTGAAAATAAGCAACGCCATGGAAGGAGTTGGAGTCGAACAAAATGTTACGCTTACTATAGAAGCGCATTAAAACCACTGATACTTTAAAATCCCAGCCTGCTTTGCATCAAGTTACACAAAAAGAAATCTAAATAATTTCTAATTGTTAGTCATATTTTCCCAGTTCATACTACTACTTTAGTATAATCCATTTGTCACAGGATACATGCTGACTACGATGCATTGTGCTTCACATGCTGGTTTATCTTGAGGATTTTGTGGCGTTAAGGCTGGTTATCGCCATGGAAACATCCCAGGATTTGGATTCTTTAAATAATGGCAGCTTCAACCAAACCAAACAAAACAAAAAGGAAAACACTAACCTGCTTCTGACCTGATAAAGGGCATAAATGAGCATCACACAATGCTGCAGATGGAAAAGATAAACATATACTTTATAAAACTTCATGTCACAATCAGCAATAAATCAATTAATTGCATGAAAATTAAAACAAACAATCATTTTAATTTGGACTACTTTTTGTTTTCCAATTTGAAGACAAGAGTCTTCCAGATGGTGCTTATATAGACTTCATAAATAATTTTATTTGTTGTTTCAGTTGTTCTGTTGGATATTTAAAATGACTTCCAATTCCAGTGTTAAATGTTCAATTTAAAGTTTATTGATCTCTGGGAGTGCATTATTATGCCATTAACGTTATATTACTTGAAAATGGTCTCAAAAAAATAACACAAAAGCTTCTGGGACAATTTATTGTCCAGGAACATTTTTTAGAGTTGTTTAAGGATTTATGTAGAGCACAGTTGTCAAACTGGAGGCCTGGGGGCCAAACCTGGCCCGCTGTAGCTTTTCATGTGGCCCTCTGGACTCCAGATTACATCAATAAGTCCTTCCAGTTTTTCACAAATCTGCAAAAATCACACAAAATCAACAAACTTCTACATTTTTTCCTGATTTTATTGCAAATTTTCTCAAAATTGGTCAAAAACATTGAATAATTAAAAACATTTCTTAATATTCACCACAAAATCTGTAATTTTGATTGAAAACGAAAAACAAAACAAAACAAAAAAAACCCACTAAAACAACCCCAAAACCTTGGAGGAACAGCTATTTACTGATATTTTAAGTTTTATTGGTTTTATCAACAGATTCTGGTACAACAGGCCCTGTAATAACATTTAGATTTTTGATTCGGCCCAAAATGACACCACCGATGTAGAAAAACATGTTAAAAAAATGGCGATTTTTTCCAACGGCGTGGTGAGAGGTGCACATGAAGCTGACCTTTAGGGGAGCTGGGAAGACTAAGAAACGAGAGGCTGATGCTGACGGTTCAATTTCTAGCCAAAGACTTGATTTGATGGTCGCTCTGAATCGCAGTCAATGCATCTGCGGACGCCGCTGATCGATGCAAGTCAAACACAAGCAGCAGCTCCCTCCTCCAGCTCGGCGCTCCACTTCATCAGCAGCAAACACACAATCCTCCCCATCGCTCTGCTCCAGTACACCTACAGACACGCTTCGCCTCCCTCCCTCTTGTCACACAGCACACAAAAACGAGGTGAGAAGCAAAGCCCACATAAGAAGAGCAGGTGGGAGTACATTATCTGGAGTGAGAAACAATTCGTTCTGGCCATCTCCTGCTTGTGTGCTGAAGTGATTCCCCCAGAGTAGCAGCGTATCGGCGGGCAGCAGCTACTGAGTGGGTGGTGGGCATTACACAACCTGGCTTCAGAACCTACACAGGCCACTCCAAAAGGCCAGGCGCATTGAGCGGCCGTGCCAGATCGTGTTTTGATTGAGACGGGGCGCGGTAACCATAATACCCGGGGTTTTATGATGCCTCTCTCTGAGAGCCCACATCCTGAACGGCACGGCGTTATGCAAAGGCGGAGCTTACAATCCGTTTATGAACGTCCATCTGTCTGCTGTGTTCATCTGAAAAGCAGAAATTAAACAATAAACTGTAATAGTTAGAGTTAAGATGGGGGTTTAGGTAAGTTGATTTGAAATGATAAAAGGTTGAGGAAGTCCCTTTTCATCCACAGCAAGAAAAATGAAAATATTCCTGTCAAAATTTCAGAGTTTTTACAAACAAATCGAGATTTTTTTTTTAAAGAAAACATCTTTCGCCAGTTTTTACAGAAGAAAATGTAATAGAGGGATGAAAAAAGAAAACATGGACAGAGATTGGTAAATTAATTTAAGGATAAATGGCTGGATGATGGGAGGAAAAAGGATGGATGATGGTAAGAAAAAGGATGGATGATGGGAGAAAGGATGGATGATGGGAGAAAGGNTGNATGATGGAAGAAAAAGGACAGATGATGGTAAGAAAAAAAGGATGGATGATGGGAGAAAAAGGATGGATGATGGGAGAAAAAGGATGGATGATGGGAGAAAAAGGATGGACCCTATCGTGGTAAAGGGGGCTGAACACAAAATCACGCCACACTTCTCAGATTATTTCTGTCATATTAGACCATAAATCATTTTCCCTTCACTCCTTTGTGTTAATCTAAAAGGCACAACAAAATAAAATGAAGTGAAAAAGAAACATATATTTCCGCCGTAAAGCTGCTCAGACTTTCTGTGTGGCTCTAAAACCCAGACTAGTGGATTTCTCATTTAAAAGTGTTACATAATCATCTACAGAGGGGATTTAACAGCAGCAAAATGCT